TGGGGGGTAAGAAGGGTCCTCCATTCTCTCTCGTTTGCAAGTAGGCAAGCAGGCAGCAGCTGGTCGTGTCCTTGGGGAGGTGCTTGCTATATGTCTGATTAATGTTCATTGTAGCGTCCTTGATGAGTTTCTCTCATTTCATGCAAGGGCAATGTTGGCTTTTAAGCATTGTGAACTTCACATGAGTTAAATTTTATGGAGGTGATCAATGCCCAACACATGAACGATTTTCGTTGGGCCAAACAAGGGTATGAACTGGATGGCCTACCAAGGGCTTCTTGTGAGTATTGGAACGGTGTCTGAAGCCCGAGTAAACTTCGAGGTTGTTGTGGTAGAACCAGCACAACACTCTGCTCTTGGCTGCGCCCCATACTTCCTAGCCCACACTTTGTCCCATTGGCAGCCCCCTACTTGTTGAGGGACAGGGGGTCATTGGGTCAGGTGGAACGGCTTTGCATGCCGGCAGTGACTTCAAGAGTGCGAGCAGGTGCTATGACGTGGAGATCCCCTGATGTTGTGAAAACGATACAGTCGCAAAGAATCAGTGTGGGAACATATGAAGGCTGAGTAAATTGCTAGGGGCGGTATACTAAGAATAGAACACCCGGTCATTATGGTTGTATTTGGGGGCAACTTTCAGTCTATTAGATACAATGGTAATGACCGTCCGCTCTTTTCGGGGGAAGACAGTAGCCTGCTTTTTGTCCCATTTCTAACCTGCCATTTGCCGGAATGGCACGGGCCCATTGGATCAAGGAAGAAAGGCTCTGAAGGCTTTGAGTGGCTTCAATATTGCAATTGGTTCTTTGTCGGAGTTGTACAGGCCATTGGGTATCCCTTGTTGCTTCATGAGACAATTGGAGGAGAATTGTTCTGGCCACAAACATTGTTGACAGTGTTTCTCCTATCGTACATGTATAGGTCGAGCATACATGCATAGGTCGATACGTGATGTCGATTCCAATGAAGGGAATCGTTTTGTGTTATGGAGAGAACTGTTGATGAACCTGTTTGCAATGACTGCGTGGAGTGGCTGATTACAAAGTGCAACTTTTGGCTGGCCTTTTTTGTTGCAAGCAGGTACATAAACCTTAAACACAGCAGAGAGGAGTTTGACAGCATGTTGACAAAGGGACCTCAGGTATAGTTCTGCTCTTGCTGATGAGTCAGGCATAAGTGGTGATATTGCCCATTGCTCTTTGAAAGAGCAACACCTTTGCTGTAACAACATACTGCCCAGTGTGGTCGGATAGCGAACACAATGCCGATTGCGGTTGTATGGTTTATACTGTTTTGCAACGAACGGTTTATGGGGGGGTTCTTTGCGAGAGAAAATCTCGGAAACAAGGTCCTCAAATTACTATCGCGCTTGGAGAATGTTATGGGGTTTTGTGGGGTCTGCTGTGCAAGTTTTGCGTGCTAGGGGAATGATGCAGAACTCGCTGCTGGAGAACAAAAAACAGTCCCAGGGCCCCGTTTCCTCTTTCCTATGCGTCTATTTGATCATCTGTGTTGAGTCAGTCTATTCTGTAAATATCACTATCTAACAGAGCTTAAGGCCAAACAAATGGGTTGAAGAGAAGAAAAAGAAAAACAAAGTGTTACTGATCCACCTCTTCCGTTCCCTTCCCCACGGAAACGCCATTTTTGGGTTGGAAGCTGCTGCTTGGTATTACAGGTTGTTGATGCGGTTCGATTATATTGAATATATTCACAATTTGTAGGAGTCGGGGTGGAGGGGTTGGGGGGGTTGGGGGGGGGTTGGAGGGGTTGTAATCAACACACACTTAGAGCCAACTCAGCGCTACACTACCTGAAACCCATCCCTTGGGATGTGTGGGGGTTGAAAAGGGGTGGGTTTCAGAAGGGAACATGAAATCGGAACCCTCTGTCTCAGTTAAGAAAAGTAGACACACTATCATCCAATGTGCGTTTAACACTTAAGTGTCTAAAGACTCTAAACCATGGTTGCGGCACACCAGTGCGCAGTGCGGTGCGGGGCGGTGCACACTGCGCTGTGCGCTGGAATGCCAGCGCGCGCACTGTGCGCAGTGCGCAGTGCGGTCCACTGTGCGCGGTGCGCGCGCTGAGGGAGGTGCGCCCTGTGCGCGA